TAACGAAATTGAGCGCTGATGTAAATTTTAGACCTGAATTCTATATTATGGATTCGTATAGCTAGAAGAGCTTCTGGTCTATGATTGGGATCTTTCTGGATATCTTTTTTCTATTTTGACCCCAGAACTCCCAAATTTGCCTTACTGCAGTTGTAATCTATAATCTTAAAATTTCTCATATAGATCAAATAATAAATCACTAAAAATTTTGTGTAATATATCCTGACATTTATCTTTTACTTTTATAACACTAACCAAAAGTCATATTACAGTAAAATTTTTAGTGTTTACATATGTAGCTCTGGACTTAACAACAGTTTCTGTTACTTAGTATTTTATACAAAATCAATTCATAATTAAAAATAATATACCTGCAGCTGAAAAACAGATTATTAAGCATTATTTTATAAGCGAAATAAGTATTTTCATGTATAAAAATATCTTTAACTAGAATATCAAGAAGCATTTCTAAGCTACTGTGAAACATTTCAATAGTATTAATTAAAGTTATTTTAAGTTCATCTTGAATAATTTTCTTATAATTCTTTTAAAACAAACCATCTGAAATTTTAGATTAATCTAAAATTTTCAGTTTAGTTCAGATTTTTTTCAGTTCAGATTAGATTTATAATCTAAAAAAATTTGAACTGAACTGAAAATTTTCAGATTGAATTTTTTGCAATTTGAAACTGAACTAAAGTTGATCTGAACTGAAAATTTTCAGATTAATTTGAACTGTTTAGAGCTTTTTAAGCATTGTTATAATAAAACAAACTATTGTATTTGTTACTACCGTATTTAATATCAAAGTGATTGTTAACATTTATAAAATTCGATTCTTACTAATTTTTCCCATTTTCAGTTAGCAATTTGAAAATTTGAAATAAAGAAGAAATTGTTGAAGAATACCACAAATTTTATTTATTCGTTATGATCTTAGATTTCACTTAGAAAAAATACATATTAAGAGAAAATAGCATTATAATACTATTAATTGATTAAATTTATATGTCACAAATAAAAAACTTATAGATAATTAGAAATAATTGATAAATAAAAATAAATTTCTTCATTATTAACATATTGTGACTATTCATTTAAAAATTTTTTCAAAATACTTTATTTTAAATAATCTTTCATAAATATTTACCAATGCTAAATATTTAATGGCATCTTCTTGTTGAACTAAAAATGCATAGTATTAGTACTAAGTAAAATAGTGTATATAAAAGTGGCCAGTTGTTAGAGTTATATGAATCGTCTAAAAATTAAAAATTTTTTACCATAACACAAATCCTTCTTTAATATTATAATTATTTCTAGTGCTGTGCCTCATACAAGCGGTAAGATCTACATACCTTGACAATATGTATTACTATTACATTCTGTTATCGTTATACAAAATAAATTTTTTTTTTAAAAAAAAAACTTTTTATAAATTATAAAAATGTCTAATAATAATTATAAAGGTAATAGTATAATAAAGAAACTAAAAATATTTTCATTAAACAAGAAAAAAGAAGAAAAGGAATGAACTTTGTATGACTAAAATTAGTTAATTTGACGGTTTGATAATATTCTAATCTTTTTTTTTATGAATTTATATTAGAGCCAGTTTCAGATGTTAAAAAAGCTTCCTTATATACCATAAATTATATTCATTTTTGTTTAAAATTCAAAATAGAAACAGTTTTAATTGATAAAAGTAATACAACTAATATTAATTCCAAAATTTTCTCATAAATAAATATTAGAATCAGATTCAGATACTCCTACATATGAAAAAATAAATAGTAATAAATTGATTATCTATAGATAATCAATTATAAAATTATAAATTGCATGAACTAATTGATAATTTCTTTAGGGAATTTAAAACTATATTTTAATAATATTATTTTTTTTAATAATTCTATTTCATGGTTACAATTATAATTATTCATTCCTTGAGAAGTCACCTCGTTTAAATTAGTTTCACAAACTTGCGTGGTATCATTTAAGGAGCGACGATCAAAAACAAGATTAACATTTTCGTAAAAATCAGTTACCGCAGAAGACGTTATTATAACCGGTCATAACCGTGACCGACCAAAGGCTTCTGACCGGTTGACCGACCGTTGTCTGACCGTTACCATCTCTAGTTAACACTATATATAGTTCCTGCCATATAGTTGTTGGTGTCAGGTGATTCCACTTTTTATATATGTTATCTATGGCCGTTCCCAATTAGGTATAAATTTGGTTATGATAAAATCAAGCAACCTATGCTGCGGCAACGAAAATGATAATTCCAGCAAAAGGGATGAACCGATCTAGCCTAAAAAATAAAATTAATCAAAATAAATATAATTAATACTCAGAACTAATTACCAAAATAAGAAAAAAAAAAAAAAAATAAGTCGAAAAAAATTTAGTCAGCTTACCTTCGCCGCGGTGATGAACCGGGAAAGAGGATCGAAACTAACCTAAAAAGATAAGAAAAAAATCAAAAATTGATAATTTATTAATAAAACAATTAAATAAAATAGGCCTTTATTGATTCATACAATTTTTTTTTTATTTTTTCATAATAATGAATCTAGTTTTTTGTTAAAAAAAAACGGGAATGCTAAATTGCTACACCAATAAAAGGATTGAATTTTGAAGATTATGAAGCTGAAAAAAATTTTTTCCGCAATACAATAAATAAAATTGATTAGAATGAATAAAAAATAAAGAGGTAATAAATACAAACAAATAACTCTGTAGCCAAATTCAAAACGTGGCACCCAAATTTTTGACAGAATTACAAAAATCAGAAAAGATACCGACTTTTTTTTTAGATCATCTTATATTCATTAAAATTTAATATATAAAGAATTTTTTTAGGTCAGAGGGATGAAAATCTTGTATAATTTCACCTTTAGTATCAGACGGGAAAGGGGGTAAAGTCGAAAATTTTTTCAAAAATTTATTCCTGAATGTAAATTTTAACTGATTCAAAACATTTATTAATTTAAAATTTTATTTTTTTGTCCCTTTTTGAAATAAAAATTTAAAATAAAGAAAATCATTTCATAATAAATAAAAATGTGAATATCGCAAAAAGGAATTTGTGATTTTCTGAATTTTACGAATATGTTTAGTTTTTTTTTTTTCCCTTGGCATTATAAAAAGTTTTTAGATATAAATATAAAGCATGGATCAAATCAAAACTTCATCAAAACATACTTACTACTTCAACTAAATAAATAAACTTACTACTCCTATTAAAAAAATATATAAATTCGCCATGAAATTTTCCACATTAATTGCAATCATCTTTGGCCTATTAACATCGATGGCGCTCACGCTCATTGAAGGTAAATATGAATGATCATGACAAAATATTTAATATTTAATTAATATCTACTCTAATAACTTTATATATATTTGTTGGGTGGAATAAATAAGCTGATCATACCGTGTGGATACATAACAAGGTATCGGCTGGTACAACGACAACTGTTACAGCTTCAACAGTAAACGGAGGGGATGGACGATTCGCCGATGGTAGTGAAATAGCTCACAAAGGTTATTCTGTGAATATTCCTGATCGTGTAAAAAAATATTACCTCGGTTTCAACGTTGAAGGATCTTTTGAACACGATAAATGGCGTGGCCCATTCAATAATGATGGGGATAGATGTTTTCACTTTCATGGTGTTTTAGAAAATTGGGACATCCTTGACTGTTAAACCAGTTTTTATTCGCTGAGCGGCAAAATGATCATTCATTATTTTTTTTTTAACCATTTCTTATATTATGTTTATTCATTTAATTCATGTTATAGTCATAATAATTTTCAAATTTGGCCCCTTCATAAAGATTATAATTAGAAGAAACCCTTATTTATATATAATTATTACCTTATTTCTGCTATATTTTTATATATTTTTAAACTTTATTTTAATCACACCCCTATGTGTTTCATTTTTACGGTTTATTTTGGGGACTTAGAATTTTTTTTTTTTATGGATATATTTTATTTGTCACCTCTTATATAACGCACCCTACATTTTGTGCAAGGTGCGTAGAAAATAAAGACCCTTATAGATTTTCATAACTATTTTTAAACTGATAAAATAAACAGATACAGAATACTTTTACAGCATTTATTATGTAATATCAAAATATAAGATTATGCTGAGCGATCGTCGTAAATATTACACATTATGCTCAGGCTATCCGTCTTTAAAAATCAATTGTATGACAAAAATTTTCCCTAGGTGATCGTAATTTTCTTCGGTATAGATTAACTACTTAAATTGATATGATAAAAATAAACAAATTGATTGATCCGTAACGTGATTTTAATAGCTTACTTCCCATAATATTTTTAAATTTATCTTTTTTTTTATGATCAAGTAGCGCAGTAGTTATCTGCATGCGCATAACCTTTTTACCAAATTAAAAAATCCTTAAATATACCATCCGGGCAAAAATTATTTATTAAATATAAAAAAAATTATATGAAATTAAACATTCTAAGTATAAAATTCAAAATATACGATAATTCAAAAAAGTTCAATTAAAATAAAGAAATATATTTGATTAACGGAGCGGAGGAAGTAATTAATATGTGATATCAAATGAGGCACAGAACTGATCAAATTGATTATTCTGGCGTACTGTAAACAACATGAAAAATTGAATAAACTAATAGAGGAACCTTTTATTGACTTTGTCCCAATATCAAAAATCGTATTCAACAAATAACACACTTTTTTGTCCGATAATTAATTTATAAATATTACCTTTGCCTACACCATTAAACATGGAGAAAACACTCTTAATGATAGTAAACTGGGGTGTATTGGAACTGAAACAGGCTACGAAGCCAAGACACGAGAATAACCGAATCGCTTGTACTCCTCATCCATATTTGGAAAGAGTATTGGAGAAATACGTATTGTATGAAAAAAAATTATCAAGTTGGCATTTATCCATTTGATCAGGTTTTCATTTGAAAATAGAACTTCGAATATCTTGTTATAGATAGAAAATTATAATTTCAAATATTTGAAATGATATTTGAATTTCAAACAGAAACCTAGCTTAAAATACTGTTATCATCTTTTTTGTACTATTTAAGAATTATGTCCGATATGATCTAAATCATGGTATTTTGAGGAATGCTACTTAATTGATGCTAATAAACGTGCATTTTGGAAGTAAAATTTCTTTTTTTCTAATTGATCAAGAACTAATGAGTTTTTTTTTTTTTGACTCATTGTAGGTGATATTATGGGAACATTTTCCCGGTTGATATTTAAAAAGGCTAATACTGTAGTCATATTAAGGGTGACATTAAGGAAATAAAGGATACACCCGCTATTAAGTATTGAAAACCAGGACAGCTCGCTAACAAACTTTTTTCACCAATAACCAAAAAGGGGCAATATCCGCAACTTTCCGCCACCACTGGTAAGTTACTCCCAACGTTATACCTCACGAACAGAAATTTTCGGTCATTACATCAATTCGATAGTCACCCTTCTATATAATCACTCCTTCTCTTTTAGTCTCTGAACAGGTCTGAACTGAGAGGATCAGGTCAAACAAAAATCCGACCTGATTTAAATTTTCATTTGACCTGACATGACCTGACCTGACAGAATCGTTCAAGAGGAACGATTTACCATCGTTCTAATTGTTCTAATTGTTATCGTTCACGAAGCACGATTGGTTAACCTTAACTTTGTCAGGTCAGGTCGGGTAACAGGCAAAAGGTATTTTCTAAGAAAAAATTTTTATTGGGAGTTCCAATTTTGTGTAAATCTAATTTTAGGATTTTTTTGACTGATGTGACCGGCTATAAAATTTAACCAAATAAAGTTCAGCAATCATATAAAATAATATCGAAAATCTCCTTTTTGTTGGAGGGAGATAATCTATTTAAGTCAGGTTACGGGACATATATATAAATTATATAAATTAGAATAATGATAAATAAAAAGATAAATAATAGGTATGCAAACCAGCGATAGCATAAGTTAAAGCATTTATTAAACTATTGTAAAATAAATTTTAATTCACGGTAATGAAAATAATCATGGTCATAACGTTAGAGGTTGGAACTTGTTAATTTTTAACCAGTTAATTAACCGGTTAAAACGGTTAACATGTTAACCGGTTAAAGATTTTTTTTAACCGGTTAAAATAGATGAATTTA